ATCTTTGTACCTACACTGCAGGGACATGACTACCATTGTGGTACCTACATTGTGGTGATATGACTAACATCATGGTACCTACATTGTGATGATATGATTACTACATCATGGCACCTATACTATGATAACTTCCACTGTGGTAACTACACTGTAATGACATAACTACCATCATGGTACCTACACTGTGATGAGTTGACTACCATCATGGTACCTACATGGTGGTGACATGACTACCATCATGGTACCTACACTATGGTGGCATGACTACCATCATGGGACCTGCTACACTGTGGGGATATGATTATCAGCATGGGACCATCACAACTATTTCAAAGTTAAAAGATGGGGTGTGGAGTGTTAGTCAGTCATTAAGTTTGAGATTTGTATCCTGTTCCAGAATTAATCGTGAAAAATTAAACTGTCTCCAGCATTCTTTTTTCCACAGCTCAATGTTTTGGTAGATTTATAGATATGGGCATGTGCTCGTCTTGCCTTATCACGATTCAAGTTTGTTTTATGCTATACATATCTTTCAAAAATGTTTCACTTTTTTGCTGGATAAGATGCTGGTCAGCTGCTGTGAGATGGTGGTTTGCTAATTGTTGAGCTAGGAGCATCAGTTAAAGTGTATAAATTACTTTGAGATTGCTTGGCTTTACAGAGGCAACTTACAATATGTTGCTGTTTTACAGATGAAATTGTTTTGGATACTATAGTATACAAGATGTACAATCAATTTCTTTCTTAAAAAAACATCAGATTTTCATGGGTGAAAGTTATTAAAACAAATTAAAGAAACTGTATGAGTAAGATATTTGTTTTAATGATATAATTAATTAACTCTTTTAATGTCAAGAGCTCATCAGTTATTCTTCTTACTTACTGTCTGCTATACAATTCCCATGATGTTAGTTTGGAAAATTTGGTATTGGATCAATACTAATCCCCTGACTGATATATTTCTTTACACTCCTCACTTGTCTGCTTAATATTGTATTGATGCTGTAAGGAAAAAATTCTTTGGTGATCACCCATGGGAGTTATAAGGTTTGCCACTATGCCCCATGAAATGGCAGACAAAGTCAAATTACTGTTCAGTTGCATTTATTTTTAACTTGATTCAAATTGGTTATGTTTGATTGTTTCAGTAATCAAAACCCAGAGGAAGACTTGGTTGACCTTGGTTGAATACCAAACTCAATTGCATATGGTCCAATAAATGATTTCCATTTTGTTCAATTGACTTAACTTTTAGTTCCAAAGATCTTATTTGTGAATTCTCTCTTCTAGCTGCTATACATTTCATTATAAATAAGTTTTGAGAATTTGATGTTAGATCAAGATAACAACCTCTACCTCTTAAGTCTGAGGTATTCTCATTACCAGTTTGCTGGATAATGTATGGATATTAAAGGGAGAAGTTACATGTTAATCACTTGTGGGAGTAAAAGGGTTAATATGCCTGTGATCAAACTAACCATATATAAGTTGTTCAGTTTCTTTGGATCAATTTAGCATTTTTATATTAGTCTTAGCTTTTAAGGCAATTCATGGATTAGCACCACT